GAAAAAATTTTAAAAAGTTTCTCCGATTTTTAAAACTACTGCCCCCCAAGAGCCTCGATAAAATAACCGTTGCATGCCTATTTGCAATGGTAGAAAACATTTTTTTGCAAGGACACATCTTCATGTCCTTCTATCCATTAAGAGAAAAATTAATGTTTCACTCAGCTTGTTGTTCTCCCCGATAAGAACATGTTACATATTGAGTGAATGGGTAGTAAAGAAAAGATGGACGATATCGATTAGTTTTTCAATTGTAATTCAATATATGTAATAAAAATTATTTGTAATTGTTGTTATTTTTAGAGTAGGTTGGGGTAATTCGAGACATTTGATAGGAGCCCTCTGGAAATTGATGAGTACTAATTATTCTCATTGAACTTTAACAAGATTTTTACATTAGTAGACAGAAAAATGTTCGGTATATCCTTCTACGAAGTGTCGTTTTCGTCCCGAGTAAAAATGCTTCATGTACGCCCAAAATACTGTGAAAATTAGATAGGGTGTCCCGTCGAATTACTCCAATCTACTCTATCTCTGTTTATTCTATGTATTAAAATTTATAAAATTTTTTTGATGTTAAACGAAAGGAAATTATTTAATGAAACAAATAAGTTGAGATTCTTTTTTTTTATCATAAATAATAATATTGAAAAGTTGCAAAAAACATTTCAGAAATAGTATTCATCAATCACTTCTAAATCTAAGAGAACGATACATATTTTGCCGATTTTTTGTTGAAAATTTTATTTTGAACTCTACTGATGTATCTTTGTTTCTCTACCATTCATTGATGATATAAACCCATACAAAAGATTAAAAAAAGATGTTATGAATCTATAAAATATCTACAATTACAAATTAGATATTTTATTAATTAAGAAAATTTTCTTATTTATTTTTTAAAAACAATATATTTTCTATTTGTATTTCTTTTAGATTAAAACAACATTGTTTTTACTAAATTATAAATTTACTCATTGTCAATTGAAATCAAATTTATATATGAATTATGGTAAGTATCAATAATAAATAGCTGACTAATTTCATTGTTGCCAATCATTTTTAACCTTATCGTTTTTTGTTTTGTTTTGTTTTGTTTTGCTATAATTTATTTAAATAGATCTCTTTTTTATCTTTTCTGATAAAAGGATTATTATAACACATCATTTTTATTTTTATGGTTTTCATTTGTTTAGAAGAAAATGTTCATATTTAATTATGTCATCGAAACAACGTTTATCCCCAACAAAAACAATTAATTCAACAAATTCAAATTCAAATAAAAAAGAGAATAATAATATTTTAGACAATGTTAAACATTGGTCGCAGACATGTCATGATACCATATTATGTAGTAATAATATTAATGATGAGTCCTCTACAAAAAGTTTATTATTAACGTTAAATGGTGGCTCAGATAATGGACAATTTGTTTATTTTGGTGAAACAATTTTACAAAATAATAAATCAAATGTGAAAATAATTGAAGGTGGTAAAATAAATCAAGATGAAATAATAATTAAAATTGATCAACATAAAGTAGCCGGATGTACACTAAAAGATGTTCAAACATTAATTCAAACAAAATCAGCAAATGGACAAAAAATTAAATTAAAAACATGTAAAACAGGTATAGATGACATACTTCTCTCTTTGTTACGTTTATTCTTCTAGAAATTTAGCTATTAAAAGTAAAAAATGATTGTAATCACTCGTACCATGTTCGGGTAACCCTTATACTCCACATTTAATAGTTTAACTTAGCATACGTCATAAAAAATAAGCGTAATGATTCAATTCTGATTTATTTTGTAATCTTCAATTGCTAATAATATTTTCGTTTAGTTGTAATTTAAGATGAATACAAGATTTACTAGGAGAAGGGAGATTAATAAAATACCGAAAAGCACAGAATTTCAAATACTATGGAGTTATGGAGAGGAGTTTTATAAAATAATGACTTGCAGATATTGATAAGGGTTTTTGTTGTCGAATTTTGAAGAGTTTTTTTTCACTACTGAACTAAATCTATGATTACTGTATAGATGAGAATTTTTTGTAAAATAAGGACGTAAAACTATGGTGTATTTTTCAAGTTATGTGGTACTTTTTTTTTTGTTATTTCTAACATTTACATTTTCTCAAATTTTGTTTTTATTTTGACAAACAAAATTGACTATGAGAAATTGATCTGTGTTACTCTTTATTACTTTTATTATCAGAAAATTGACACATTTGTGTATTGTTAGTATAAATCCAGTGGTTTCAATAATTGATTGCATTTATTATATAACATCACTTAGTTGATAAAAAAAAAAAAAGAAAAAAACGAATTGATTTAGTTTGTGACTTTTTATCTTCTTCTCTATCCAAAAAACGGAACTATTTTTATTATCGTCTATTGTTCAATTAGTATAGATTATAACTGAATCGATCACTATGATCTCTGTTAGTTCATGAATAATTTGTATTTTTTTCCGTCATGGTTTTTAGTGACGCCTCCAGTAAAAATTATTAGTAGAAAATTCTCAATTGAGAATAATTAAATAAGATATGATAGTCAGAAAGAGATAGAGCAATGGCAATCATTTACATCTGTGTTGATATATATATATATATATATATTTTTTTTTTTTACATAAAAGAAGCACGCACATACATACAGAAAATAGTTGTAAGTAACTCTCATCGATGAATAATAATAATAATAATAATAATAGGTCATTATTGGAAAGTGTGATTGATTCATTGAATGATTAAACGTGCATTCAATTTAGAAGAAAAAATATGATCAATCAAACCAGATTGAACTATAAAGTCACGAACCAACATTCAATTTTATTTTTTTTTGAACAAATAAAATTAAAAGTTTTATTAAAAACTATATATTTGTTTTCTTGACATTTTGAATAGTTGAACAAAGTACAACGATGTCAAAAGTATATGCAAGATGTACAGAATTTTTGTATAACTCTGAAGAGAGTAAACAATAAATAAATTATAAAAAAAATAAGTAATTTTAAAAGAAAATGCACTTCATGTTTAATATCCTAATTTATCTAATGATTAATTTTACGGTTAAATAATTTTATCTTTATTTATGTGTTCTATCATGTTTGATGATATAAAAATAAATTATTAGATTTATTTCGTATTTTTTTACAGCATAAAGTCTTTTTCTCTCTCTCTCTTGCTCTACTTTAAAATTTTATACAAGTTTTTAGTTTCCATTTAGAATTCGTCAGTCGATGACGACCTCCTCTAACCTCGCGATTCATTACATTCATAAAACCTCAACAGACAGGAAATAACATGTATATGCTAAGAAGAATAGAGAAGAAGAAAAGACTGATCTCTTCTCCATATAGTTCAACAACACTTTGTGTATGTGTTATTTATTATTAACATGAGTAATGATCAATTTTGTCGATTATACCTATACTCTTGCTAGTAAGAAGAAAAGAAAATCGTTTAATGTATCAAACTCGATTTTCTTTTCGTTTTTTTTCTTCTTCTTCTTCTTCTTTAGTACTACTAATTCTAAGTAGGTTAGATATATAGAGAAAGTGCCCAATATCCTCTTCTTCTTTCTCTCTATGATCAATGTTCATGTCATGTCTGTTTATCTTAAATATTTGTATACTTAGTAGGAAAATAAGAGAGAAAAGGGAATAAAGAAAGAGAAATTTTAAACAAAAACATCTCTATACAATAAGCAATTCATTATAGACTAAAGTGATTACCCATTTTTTTTTGTTTCCATACAAGTGTACGAAGAAGAAGAAGAAGAAGAGGGTTTGTATAAAGATATCTTTTAAGATATTTTTTCTTTCTTTTTATAAATATTAGTAAAATATGACACATCGAAACAATTGTTTACAAAACAATATTAAAAAACCTCGTTTCCTGCTATAAATTAAATTTCTTTTAATCAGGATGTTAAGTCAATTATTAGTCATAAAGAATTTATTCAATGTTCTTCCTTTTCAGTTTTCCATTTTCTTCATTCGTGTGAAAATAATAATTCATTTACACACATAATTTGACGAAATCTACGGGGTTTTTTTTTTTAAAATTTTTATTACTTGTGCAAGCAATGTATAAAATAAGAAGAAGAAAAAGAAAAAAAAATGACAATTTGAACACAAAAATATCTAATTGACTAGAAGCGGTTTATTGCTGTTCTTGAAAACAAAACTACACATCCTTACGTAAGCTTTTGTAATAATAGAAAAAATACTAATAACAGAAAAATTTGAATCAGTGACTTTAGTGAATCATCAAAATTTAGCTCTTATCTCTTAGAATATTCAATGTTCGGAGAGAAAAAATGTCATAGTATTCGTTACAATCAATAAAAATCTGATATAAAATGGATGAGATGTTTATGTGTTATACAAGCCATCATTTGAATTTAATTTATATGCCGATAAAATTTTTAAAACAACAAAATTAAATTTTTATATTATTACAGAATACTAATGTTTTTCATATTTCTTTTTGTACAAAATTTCATATTTTAATTTGATAAAATAACTAACTGTTCAATTGACATTTTTATAAATTAATAAATTCGTAGTCAAATTTCTTAATTTACTCGATAATTTTTATCCTTCATGGTATAATACACATACCTTTCAATTATATAATTTGATTGAGAATTTATTTATTTTTTCATCATTGAACAAAAACATAATGATAGTCATATAAAATAGTCTTTGAAGTGTTCAACATGATTCTAGTACTAGTTCTTGAAGAATAAGAAAAGATTTATTAGAAAATACGAATTTCAATATGTTTTCTTCTCAGTTACAAGTAGAATAATTTATGTGATCGTTTATGTGTGTAAAAGTTTTTTGATAATTAATTATTCTATGTAAAAAAACTTGAAAGAAAGTACTTTTTTTCTTATCATTGTTCAAGTATCTCCCAAAAGAATAGTCGTGCATTAATATATAATATTGAAGACGGAGGAAATACATTCGAATGATTTTTTTTCTTCTTTGAAAATTATTTTTTTTACCTTGAATGGTACAATATCCTTTCTTATTTTTTTTTTTTGACAGTGATTTTCGTTTAAAAAGACCTTGTATTAGTCGTCTTACACAGGCAACATCTTCGATGAAGAGATAAAATTCTTTTAGCTGTTTTTAAGAAAAGAATTAATTTTTTGATTTTATATAGTCTTTTTGAGATAAAAATTATTTCTACCTAAGTCAAAAAATTACAAGTGAGTAAATTTATTTTGATTGGACTTTATCCCCAAGTTCATTTATGTGATCGGTATTGATCGACTTGTTTCTCAGAGATCTCTCTCTCTCTATCTATCTGAAACAGAGTTATTTTCAGATTTTGCCTTTTTCTTTTTAGTTAAATATTGATTTTAGAAGACATATAGGAGTTTTATGATTATTATTGAATTCCTAAATTAAAAAAGGTTTTAAAAAAATGAATAAGAATTTTCATCATGATCCGAAAATCCAATAATTTTTGTTCTTTCTTTGGAAACTCGAATGATTTACTACTAAATCTCATTTTTTTTTAAAAGAACCGTAGTCCGTTTTTTTAGCAAATTAGTGAAGGATGAGGGTGAAGGTGAAGAATTTTACCTGCGTTTTCAAGTTTTGTGCGACTAATTCAAAATTTAGGTAGAATTCGTTTGGAAATTTTTTGAGCTAGTTGGATAGAGCTCATCAAGTTTCATAGAAGAAAGTCAATTTTAATTGTTTAAACGTCATTTTATGTGAAAAAATTTTGAAATATGTAAAAATGAGTCAATTTTTCAAAAACAAGCAAAATTAGATCAGTAAAATTTGTGAAAATTTAGTGAAAATCAGTCAAAAATTAAACACATAGGTAAAATACTACGCAGATTTTCATAGATATAGAACTGTAATCTATAGAAGATTTTCAGAGGATCTTTCGAGAACCAATTTCTCAACCGATGTGTGAGAGTCTGTTTTCATCGAGAAACTGCGCAAATACTATCTCAACCGGTAGAGCAAAAACTTTCCTATAAAATGAGACCTTGTACAGTTCTTTACAATGTTGTGTCACTCAGATATTCATTGTTTAATAGTAGACGTGATAAGAAGAAATAGAAGGTAAGGAAAAGAAGGCGCTTGGCGTCTCTAAAACATCGTTAAAGAGCTATTCTGAAACTTTTTTCACATCTTACTAGCACAAATTGCACTCTAATTTTGATTTAGCCTCATCCCTCGTATCACGGGATTATGGAGAGAAATAGACAAAATCCCCTCTTTTTAGAATAGTTTCGGCGAAATGTCATTGGCATAGTTTTTGAAGATCATAGGAGGAGTTGTGAGATTTATTGATAGTTTTGTATTGATTAACAATGACAAAACAAAGTTTTTACGCTTATAAAATTTTCAATTGGCACTCATTTTGTATCAGTCTGATAAATAAAAATTACAGAACTTTTATTCGTTCCTTGCGAGAATATTCTTCTAAATCCTTGGTAGGTTTTTAAAATACACTTTTTTACGAGAATGTTCACCTTAGTCTTTAACATCTGGTCAAAACAAGATTTCTCATTGATTTTTGATTTGAATATATCTTATATCAAATAACGGCTTCCGGAAAAAGTAGGTGTTTGTATTTTTGTCACATTTTCTGAATGAAAGGTCGTGTAGAGTGTGAGAATATCTAACAATGTGTAGCACACCTTTGTCTTTCATTTGGAATATCTTAAAGCTCTGGGCGTCTTGCCATTCGGAAATTATAAGAGACACAAAATATAAAAGAATCGTTACGGAATTACATTTCGGTAGCAGATCAAGCCTATAAGAAATTGTTTCTTCTCTTAGTGCCCAAAGGCTCAAAATTTCAATAAAACACGAATATTTTCATAAAGTAGTAGTGTGTAGTATCAAATAGTTTTTTCTTCTACAATTACACTTCATAGAGCTGAACTCGCGGCAGAAATTGATGTCAAAATAAAACTAAATTAGTAGCAGTAAGGTACGATTTGTTATGTCATCATTTATAAACTTTTTTCGATACAAACGGTATTACTAACAATAGTTTATTATCTATGTCACATACATATACACAAATTTCTAAGAGTAAATTTTTCGGGGTTCTTTTTTTTGTTGTGTGTATGTACAACAATACACAGGAAAAAAAATCCTGTATGAAAAGAAAAAGAAAATTAAGTTTAATGGTACTTGATAAAAAAGAGTTGCATAACATTCAGGATGAAAAACAACAAGTCACTATATACGGTGATGAGAAGAAATGAGCTGTTATTATCTAGTGTATATAGATACGTGCATATAAAGTATTCAAGAATGTGTAAATGTATACAATGTGTTTGTGTGTGATATCGATCTTTGAGCTCTGGAACTAAATAACCATATCCACCATTATTCTTATTAAATAAATTGTGAGGAATAAACGACGTGAAAATAAGTTCATCATTAACTGTGCTATTTATCAATGTGTGTGTGTGTGTGTGTGTGTGACAAATATATAGTCAATCGTAAGGCCATTTTTAAATGATACTTTCTATTCTTTATGCTATTATCTTATTCTCACATATTTTTACGGTCTTAAATGAAATTTCCATGCTTATTACGAATGTCAATTCTTTTTTCTTAGTCTTTTCTTATGAAGTTTGTTGATTAAGCGCACTTTTTCGTTTGAAAAAATCTTATCGAATAAGATTTCTTTGAGGGAAATTTTGATCGGATTGGCTGAGACGTCTTGCATTGCAAGAGTTCATCTCCATTGTATCGTTGAAGATCATAGAAATTTATGATTATAAGAGAAAAGATATTTCCTGACAAAATCAGATGTTGATCGACTTTTTTTTAAACAAAATCAAATTCCATTGAGTTATCCGCGTACTTCTCATCTCCCGTACACTGTTATGTTTACTCGGTTTTGTTAGATCCTCAAAGAGCAGTTTTCTTACTTTTCTGAAGAGTCTGAAATAAAGTCTTTTTCTACTTTGACTCTGGCATGTTCACATATGGGATTAAGCTTCTAATCTCAAATTTTGGCGGATCATGCAGTGCCTTTGTTTTTGTTTCTGAAAATAAGGCGTCCATAATTTGAAGTTTCAGTAAATTTTTCTTTTTGATATACTTATACACATGGTTGGATAGAGAACATCGAGTTGGATAAGAAAAAGTTAGTTTTACTTTTTGAAAAAAATACTTTAAGGATAAAAATTTTGAAAAATTTCAAAGGATCGATTTTTCTCAAAACTGCTATAGTGTCAGAAAATTCAAATTATGCGTTTTCCCTTTACTTTCAAGTTTTGAAACTAATTTTTTTGAATTCAGCACTGAAACCTGAGTATAGAGAAGATGTTTGATTGATTTCAAACCTAAAAGCTAATTTAGCCTGCTTCACTTGACCTGACCCTCCAAACGACAGTAGGTTATTTTACAAATCTATCTAGTTTTTTGTGTCAGTACATATTGATATTTCTCTTATCTCATTCGAACCGTCAAACTGTCAGTTTTAACATGACATATTACTTTTTTTAGTTTTTGCGAGCAGCATGGCTGTGCGAGCAGCATGGTTTCGCGAGCAGCATGGCTGTATTAGCTAATGGCTAGGACAACGTATTTACAAGTGCCGCGTTCGAATCCATCTAGTGACAGCAGCTATGTAATGGTCTTGGGCAAGCTATTCATGTTCATTGCTTCAGACCGTGACCTATAGATGAATATAATGGGGCTTGCCTCGATTTTCAGCTGGTCACGTGCTCTGGGTGTTTAGAAAAAAAAAGAGAATTCATCTTTTCTAAACCAAAATTCCGATTTTTTCGCACCTGGTTTAGAAAAAATGAATTTTCTCAGTGACGAAACAAAACTAAAAAAAGTAATATGTCATGTTAAAACTGACAGTTTGACAGTTGGTAGCGCAGGTGGCAAAGTATGTGTGACCGTAGTCCTCAGACAGACTTAAAGTATGCACGTGTGAAACAATATTAAAAATCGGTAATCCAGTGGTGGAGAGTCAAACTCAGAAAAACGACGAATTGTAAACTATTTTTCCTAAAATGATTTTTATCTACTCTCTTTTTATTTATCTTTAGTTTCACTTTTGTATTAATCCTCCGTTATCTCCATCCTCTTTAGTTTTTCTTTCCCCTCTCCACATAGTGGACAGTTCTGACATTCCATATAGAAATTTGACTTTTTCTTTAAAAAGGATTATTTTTAGTTTAATTTCATTCCTTTCAACCGATCAGTCCGCTGACAACGACATATTCCTTTTACTAGAAGCATCACACAATAAAGCGTACATACTTATAATAAATCGAGTCCTCTTAATAAAAGTCTATGTCTAAGACAATGACGCTAGAAATAGAAGTAAGCCGATATAGGTTATCAATTACAGTGCATAACATTTAAAATACTAGTGAAGTTCGAAGGAAGAGTTGAACAGCCCTTGCCAACTGCCGGTCGGATGATTGGATGACATATCTTCTTTCATCTTATATTTAGATAAAACGCGACTAGATTTCTATAAAAATTGATGTTTCTAAGATAAAATCATCGTCCTGATCGAAAATACAAAGAATCATCGAAAAAACTGTCTTTATCATCAATAATAATAATATACTATTAATATCCATTCCACTAATTCTGCATTTATAATTAATCAAAAAGAATTTATCAGTATGAATGCTATGACAGCTGCATACCCTTTATCTTTTCCGTCAGAATGCTGCTTATATATCAGGTGAAGAGATCGTACACAGTGGAGAGTTTTTATCGTGCCATCGACAAGTAGGAGTGTCTAAAGATCAAAATAAATAGGGATGATGTATATTATTATTAATGAAATAACTATTGTTTTTTCGATAGTAGTTAGTATTTTCAATTTGGTCAATGGTTTTTTAAAAACCAAAAATAAGAAAAAACACACAATCTACGATAAAATTCTAGTTCTTTCCATAAAATTTTTCTGCTCTAAATATTGTCTCAAAGTTTCGTTAGTCCTTCACTGTCATAACTTCTAACTTACAAAATTAAAATGAAGGTTTTGATTTTCTAACGCTTCTAACTTTTTCATATTTTATCTAACTTTGGTCTTTTCAAAGATTATGAATTTTTAATAATCTGTTTGAAGAACATTTAGAAAAGAGATGTCTTGAAACTTGTTTTGAACTATGATTAAATTATTCTCTCACACTATAATCGTGACACGCAACACTTACTTGTCTTATCTAACGTTAGTTTGTCTATGAATCTGGTTAACAATTTAGAATATATATATATATATATATATATCCACTATTCTAATAGAAAACTCAAACATGTTTCCATTGTTATTCTTATTTATTATCTTGTAGAACTTCATGTGTTTACATTTCATCTTGTTCGTTTTGGTGATGAACTTTCCGTCTACCGCTCTTTGTCATGCTGAGTCTGTTCAACCAAATGTTCTTTTTGTACATGATGTGACTGTACTAGAAACGGTACTACTACTACGTGTCTCTGTAAGATTATCATGTAAACATCTATGTTTTTTTCCACTAATGTTGTTGGAACTGTAAATGATGGGCATCAGAATTAATAAGAGAGTGAATTATATATGTTGACAATATAACAATTGTTTAACACATGGCCATTATTACAAAATGCACAATTTTTTTTTCTTCTTCCTTTCCCTCTAGCCACCAACATCGTTCTTCTGTCTCTCTCTCTCTCTCCTCTCTGTTGTTGAATTACGTCATTATTATGTACAGATATCGGCAATTATTATTCTTTTTTTTTTTGCTGCTGACGATAATAATAATCATACTCATAAATGTAGAACAACGAGTTTTACCAAAAAAACAATATGATAATTTTTTCGATGTTTAACTAATATATCTTTTAAAAAGATGTTGACAAATAATGGTAATATAATGATTAATTCTTCGTATGATAATATATCATCGGCAAATTATGATAAAAATCCAATTTTTGAAGAATTACAAGGTATTATTTGCATATATTCATTAACTCTTTCATACTAATAATAAAAATTGGAATGTTGCTCTTGAAATTCTTATACAAGTCCACAGTTTTAGATGTAAAGACATTGAGAGACCAAGGATACCATTATTGTATTTTATGTTGAATGATAAGAAATCTTCTAATGAACCTGGAATGACATAACTTTTTCTATTATTCCAGATAACAATCAAAAACACAGCAGATGGTTTTTGTAGGACAAATTTCACAGGGTCTATCAGATTACATTGTTAGACAAAAAGTCTTTTAGGATTGATTGTACACAATCAAACTTGAATTTTAAATTCATGAAGTTTAGGATAGACTATGAAATATACATCATCATTTCAGTGCTTTTCAGATCGTCTTTTGTACTTTGTCACAGTGAATTATATTAAGAAAGAAAATGTTTCTTCTCTATTTGAATCCTACATCTAGCAGATTTCGTATGACAGATTTTTTGCCCACGATAGAAACCTATTGTGTATGAAGTAAAAAAATGTTGCAAAACTCATGACATAGTCAAAATAAGAAACGTTTTTTTTGACAATTTACCCTTATCTAAATTCTGAAACTAAAAACTAAAAAAAAACCTGTCGATTGAATTTATTACACTACTGACAGCTGAGATTTTTATCAGTATGTGAACAAGTAAATACTTCAAATAATAAAGTAAACTGTTTTTCTTTTATGCACATAATTCATTACCTATGTTTTCAAATAATTTGTTGACAATAAGTAATTGATCTTATTTCTTGTTCGTAAACCTTGAACATATTTTCGTTATGGACGATCAAAAACGTCTTATTTTTAAAAAATAAAAGATCAAGGTCTTCAATTTTTGAATTATACAGTTCTGATTTACTTTATTTCAAGGTCTAACAAAAGATCTTCGTCAATTTTTGGATGCTCGATTTCAAAAAGGCTCGATTGATCATGATTTACAACAAACAATTCGTGATAATTTATATATGAGAACAGTTCCTTGTAAGTATTTTTATCTTATTCTTTCTCTTTATTATCTGCTTTTTTTTTTATTATGTTTTTTTTTCTTCTATTTTAAAAAGGTACAACACGTCCTCCTCGTCCTGGTGAAACAAATGGTCAGGATTACACATTTTTAAGTGTTAAAGAATTTAAAGCATTAGAAAAAAGTGGCAATCTACTTGAAAACGGTGTTTATAAAGGTAATGTGAGAGCACATTGTTCGTTGTCTACGTGTATTGTGAATGCGTTATTTTCAAAACGAAAAAGAATATATATGTATACTCCTTCTAAATAATAATAATAATAATAACAACAGTGCATTTTCTTATTTTTTAAATTACTTAAAATATACAATTATTCTTATTATTATTTCTTATAGGACATTACTACGGAACACCGAGACCGCCAAAAGAGTCGGGTACAAATTTATTAAAACGAAGTAATTCTGTGAATGAAATGTTTTCAAATCAACAACAACAACAACAACAGCAACAGCACCAACAAACTCATCGAAATGTCAAGGAAAATGGAAATGGAGAACCAGGTATCGTAACTTGAAAAACACAACAACAACAACAACATAGTAGAAAATGTGTACAAATTTTTTTGTCTTTTTTTAAATAGATTATCTTCATTCTTATCCGTTGAATATTAATAATGATCCAGAATTTTTCAATGGACACGAATTAGAAACTCACATGTAAGTGACGTTTGAAATTTTACACGATGCTTGTCCTGAGATCTTTTCAATACAAAATAAATATGTTTAATTGTTTTATCCATTGCTAAATGAATTTCGTATCAATCTGCATACAATTCATGTGAATGACAACTTTTCTCGTTTCAGGTATAATTCTAGTGGCGAAAGTCCACAAGCGTCATCGAGTAAGTCTTCATTTTTTTTTTATTTTTAACATAAAAACTATTTTTACTTGTTGTCTACTTTAGCTTCTTCATTCTCAAATAATGTTCAACATCCATCACTGCCATTTTTACCGAATAATCACCACAACAATCATCATCCATCATATTCGAACAACGAAAATGGACAATCAAATCATCATTGTAAGTTTGAAAAAAGAGTTTGTTAAGTTTAAATGTAAAAATGTTTATTTTATATGAAATTGTCATTTATTTAGCATCACATCAACAGCGTCATCCTCGTCATAATTCAACTGCAATTGATTTGAATCGTTCTCAATCTCCAGCACATCTTTCTGGTGAATTAATTTCGTGTACACTACACAAAGGCCAAGGAGGTTTCGGATTTACCATTATTGGTGGTAATGAAAAAGGTGAACATTATTTACAAATAAAACAAATTTTACCAGATTCACCTGCTTATCGTGATGGTCAATTAGCTCAAGGTGATATTCTTGTCTATGTAAATAATCAAAATGTACTTGGATATTCACATACCGATGTTGTTAAAATATTTCAATCATTATCGATTGGTGATGCTATACGACTGACCGTATGTCGAGGATATCCGTTAGCCGTTGATTTTGATGATCCAACAGTTGATGTTATTTCATTAAATGGTGTAAATGGAAATGGAAATGGATTAATAAAAAGGTAAATATTATCATGTTTTATTCTCTTGTTATATATATATATATATATATATATGATGGAATCTATTTTATTCTAGTCCATTAACGATACCTCCCACAACCGAATTATTGAATGGAGGTTATACAGAATATTATGGACAACGTGAAAGAGAACAAGATCAACAATTATATCAATTATCAATACGAAAAGGTGAAAAAGGATTTGGTTTCACGGTGGCTGATAGTCTCAATGGACAACGTGTTAAAACAATTGTTGATAAACAACGTTGTCATGGTTTGTGTGAAGGAGATTTATTATTATCTATTAATGGAATCGATTTAACGGGCAAGAAACATTTGGAAATTGTTGACATATTAATTCGGTGTACAGATGAAAATGATACAATTTTTATAGTTAAAAGAGGACAAGGTGAGTGATTATTATTATTATTATTATTATTATTTTTTGCTATGAATCAATATAGTGATGATTAATAATCAATTTGTATAAGATCTATTTCAATTGTTAGAAGACTAGTCTTCTATGTTAAGTTCATTTTGTTGAGATATAGATCGAAATTGTAATTATAAAATGATTATATATATATATATAACAAGAGACTATTGGCTTTGTTGATAAATTTGTTCTATACTCTCTCTCTCGTACATATTAATATAAGAAAAACATTTTATAAAGATAAATGTTCTTTCTTTTCTAACAATAGGGAACATCCAGACTATAGTTAAAACATTGATTAGTTCAATTTTGTTCATAACATTATATAGGTCACTATTTAATTTGTATCATATTTCATTAATTTATTTGGCATATCATTTTGTTGTATTCAACGTTCTTTTTTTTTTTTGTCGTTATCCCTTTTTTAATATACCTTTCAATTTTATCTCTATACTCTTATAAAAAAGAAAACATTTTTTTCTCTTTACTATAATCAAATTTATAACCTTGTTTCTTTCAGAAAAAAAAAAGACGTGAAGAAAGATTTTTTATTCTATTTGTATTTGTAATAGTATACTAAAACTATCGTAAATATAAGTACATTAAGAGAAATATTACAGATACATATATATATACCTTTTTTTCCCTCTCTCTTTTCTACGTATATGTTAAATTATGTGAATAGAGACGTTATACAGCATTTGTTTACTATTGACATATAATATAAGAGAACTAAATTTTTCAAGTATAAGAACAAATTAGAAAGAGAAAGAGAAAGTTAATATAAGATTTGTATCAGTTTGATATTTAGAACAAATCAGAGAGAGACCTTTCGATAGAGAGAGAGTAGACAATACAATTTATATGAAAAAATAGAAGAAGGTAAGAATATTATTTTTTAAAAGTAACCAACAACAAACAATTCTTAATTTTAACTTGAAACAAATTTTTCAAATAGAAGTCAAAAATTAACAAAATAATAAAATATTTTATAAATATAGAAAATAAATATATTTTTCTTAATAATTTTTTGTCGTTCATAGACAGTACAAATTTTTATTTTTTAACTTATTTATTCTATTCTAAAAATATAATAATATAACAATTAATAATTTATAATTTTTTTTAGGAAATAAACATTTGAACTTTAAAATAATTTATTTTTTATTTCATTTACATTTTTTTCTCAATTTGTCCAAAAGTACATGTTTAACTATATGTATATCTATATATATATTTTTAAATTATTTGTTTTATAGTTTGAGGCGTTGTAACATTCTTCCATCTTGATTGAACATTTGTAGAATAAAAGGTAAATGCGATAAAATCAATCTGAATAAAAAAAATGATGACCGTGAAAAATTTATAAACATATATATATATATGTATTTCTCTTCTTCAAACATCTGTTGACATAAAACATACACATTCATACATCTGCTCAATGATTAAGTGAGAGATAATTTTGTGTAAATTATTGATAAAATTCTATGTGACATTCAACTGAAATTTTTTTATTTTTATTACATTTTTCTTACTATAAGTATGTACATTGACCTTTTTGCTTATCGCATACGGTGTGTATGTATACGTCTTCTTCTTTTTTGTTTTTTTTTTTTTTTTATTTTTATTTTTAACTTAACAGAATTCATTTATATATTCATAGTCTATGGCACCATTATGTTTTCGGAACTAAAGAAAAGAAGAACAAAAAAATAAAACCATACACATCGTATAATCACATCATCATCATCAAATAGAGAGTGTTTTCATTACTTTTTATGTTGTTATTTTGTCGACACACGTTGTTCGCCCGTCGGGAAAACAATGTCAGAGTTCAACATGATCGTTTTTTAATTAGGTTCCTCTTCATAATTGATCGTCATTGTTAAAAAATAGTCTGAAATCATAGAAAAGAGAAAGAGACAAGAGAAAGAATTCTGTTATAATGATTTATGATAAAATTATTCTTTTTTTTTATATATATACATATATATATTTTATTAGAAAGTAAAATTTGTCCTTGTGTGACTACTACAGTCAGTGAAACAAATAATGTAAAAAAGAATGTTAAGATTTCGTGTAACAAAAAAAGTCAAACAAGGTAAAAATAAATAAATATAAATAAAATGTTTTAATAACATTTCTAAGAATTTTTGTTAACAAATTGATATTTATCTTTTCTATTATCTTATTTACATGTTTAAACATAAATATTTATCCATAATAGTTAGAAATTCAAGCTAACATTGAAAAATTTAATTAAAAAAAGGGAAAAAATGAATACAGTAACATAAGTTTCTGAATTTCAGTCTATATAGATGATAATTCTAAATCTAATTTCAGCACCTTCAACTCATCTGTTATTTGATAATCATCAGATATCTGAAATAGTGACTAATCTTCTTGACTAGGATGAATACTAGATAAATTGTTGCTCACTTCAGACTACATATTTAATTATAATTTCGTTTTTTTTGTTTTGTTTTAGGAGACACCAATACGATTAATGAAACAACGAATCCGGTTGTGAACAATACATCGAATACAAACACAAATAATAATAATAATAATAATAATAATAACAACAACAATAATAATAACAATAATAATCACAATAACAAAAATCTGATAGTAGAAAAGAATAATCATTTCAATAATTTAAATCAGGTAAAATTTTATATTTAATTATTATTCTCACTGATAATCTGAGTACGAAACAAGAAATAGTTATCCCACGAGCTATGTTCACTTAGATGATGTTAAACTTCATTGTTGAAACTCTATACCAGAGGTGCAGAATCTTCCAAAAAATAAAAAATTTCCCCACCCACGAAAATTTTTTCCAGAAATTTCCCCAGGCTGTTGTATCTTCGTCGCTCACCAACCAACTTTATTTCGCAAAAAATAGAAATAAAAAACATGGCAACTTCTTGTTCTGTTCGCAAATTCCCCAGCATAGTACTTTTCAAAAATTTTCCCCAGTAGAACAACTTTTCAAAAAATTTCCCCACCCGCGCGGGTGCGCACGAGGAAGATTATGCACCTCTGCTCTATACGTCACTATAAAATGTTTAAATTACATCTTAGTGAAGAAAAAAAATATTCTAAAAATTTTTTTTCTAAGCATATAACTTGTAAACAGCGTACAGTTCAAATACAAGGCTCTTAAACAATACAAACGATGAAAAAGTTTTCCAGATACTTTTTGTGAGAAGTATAAAAGAGAACTTTTTTTAGAATAAAACTTATATTAAAATGAGAAGGTTTAGAACAATAAGTTTCCGAATTTTGATCTTTGCTTATGTTGACCCACAGTTCATGCCATTTTATGTACCTTTTTCTTTGAATCAAAAATATTTTCGTTTTCATTTGAGAAATATTCTTAATCAAACTGGCTAATATATTCGGAATCAAGTTGCAGTGAAACATGTATAAAATAATAACTGTTGAATGAAAAAATTCTCAATCAAAACTTTTTTATCTTAGTCTCATCACAGCGATATTTTGAAAACATTTATTTCTATTTATAAATGAATTTTGTGATAACTAAAAGGTTTATTCGCAAAAAAAAAATGTCTGATATCTTCATCACAAGCCAGAATAGATCACCGTATGATTAAGAATTTAAATGATTTTTGACTTATTTTTCGACAATTTTGCATAAAGAACACGTTTCTAGTTCTATTTTTGTAAATAGTTACCACAGAATGAAAATTTGACAATTCGTCACATGCGTAAACATGTATCATTTTTATCCATAGACAATAAGGTATAAATGAAGTAGATATGTTCCCCATTTCCATAATTGTTGTCACTGTTGTTGGTATTTGTTTGATTATATTTATTCTTGTTTGTATGTGAGATTATTGAGTAGAAAAATGTTTAATCTTTTTTATCTAGAATTTTGTTTTTTGAGGTTCTCAGTTGGTAAGCCATCATTGCGCTTGATTCACATCAAGCTTTATATATATATACATTTCTTTTTCTTTTGTTTGATTTATGCTTCTTTATTATTATTATTATTATTATTATTTTGCTTTAATGCATGCATCGATTTTTATTGCTTTTTCGAGAAACCTAGTGTCTAAAAATTATGATAGAAATTAAATTTTGCCATTTATAATTGAATTAATGGGACTCGTTTTTGAACACAACATTTTTGAGCAAACTTAATTGAATATAATTTATAGTATGGTGAGATAGTTTGTTTTAATTTATAATTAAGATAATTTTACCTATAGAGTGTATATTTGTCGACCTCTGACATTAGGTCAGATATATTGTTTTGTTCTGTTCTTAAAAATGAAACAGGCACGTACACTAGATATTGTTGTTCTTGTACTCGTAGATCATAGAAAGAATGATGATCAAGAATAGTATAAGATATGTGTATACATGTGTATAACTTATGTGTATAAGATGAATGTATGTTTTATTTGGTTATCAATATACGCAAATTTGTAAAAATATTTATATCCATATATAAAACCAGTTTTTTCTTCTTATATATTAGAAAAGACTACAAAATCCAAAAATGAAACATGTTATTTTTATACTCGATATACTTCCCTAGTGGGTGTTTATCAGTTTATGCCTATTAGTTAGAAAAACACCATTAAGAAATGTATTTGTATTTTGTAGGAAGATCAATCGACAGTACCAATTCCGATTATACATGATTTTAATGGTAAATTAATAATACTTCTTAATCAATCTGCAATTTCATGAAATATAAAATTACATTTTTTTTTTTCATATTTTTCTTTAGAAAAACCGCGAAGTAAAACTCCAACGCCATATAGTAACGCTCCATTAGCTGATCCATTACCATTACGTTCAAGAACTCCATTACCAAATAGTTCAAATCGGTTTGTAACATTTGAAAAAGTACTCAATGCCATTTATCTAATATTTTTAATTTTATATCTTCTAGAAATATTGGCAGTTCTACTCGTACTCAATCATCGACAAATCCATATGATAATAATCTAAGTTTTTTAAAACACACCGGTCGTAATCAAAATCATAATGATAATCATAATACTCAGTCTTCTATTGAAGATACGTTCGCTATAGCTGAAACATTTCATTCAAAACCGTCCATAACACCAATGTATAATAACGAAGAATATCATCCTCATACAATTGATCAAAATGGACATACATTTGATCGACATACATTATGGACGAGAAGTGCACGGGATATAAGACCGAATGATAATAATGTGCTAAATAATATATCATCTCTGTCTACAACAAAACTAGCATCAAATGGTGGTGGTAGTGTACGAAGTAAAACTCCTGGACCAGAATTTAATTCATCTATACCATATCGAAATAATATAAACGGTCATTTAAAACAAAGAAGTAAAACACCGACAACAGCCGATTTTTCCTCATATAATAATACATTACCCATGCAAAGAGAACAACAACAATATGAACAAAGGATACATAACAGGTTATTGTTAAAAAACTAGTTGTTAAATTGCAAAAATCGACAAGTAGAAGAGTCGCTAGAGGAATTTAGTTTTAAAAACATTTTTTTAGTTCACGTTGCGTTCGGAATTTTGTTTTGTTCTGTTCCAGTAGTAGTCTACTCTATGATAGGTTTCTGCATATGAATGGGTGAAAAAATGTGCAAAACATCTATTATTTTACTCTTTCATATTAGAAAGCACACCATCCTTACAAAAAAAATCAGAGAACAAATTTAAAACATCAGAAAGAAAGTACTATTATGTGCTGTCGAATGAGTTTCAAAAATGTGAGAAAAGAAAAATTACTTAGGTAGGATTTCAAATCATTTTTATCACTGCTTAACTTTTCGGTTATCGACCATATGTAGTGGAAATAACTACTTTTGTTGAAGTGAGAAAATTTTCTTCACTTGGGTTTTCAATTAATTTTCTTTTATTTTTTCATTTGTAGTCGATCATTACAATCAGTAAATTCACATCAATATTATGATTTAGTTGTTAATTTAACATTACTGAGACCAGAAGATGGATTTGGTTTTCGTATTATTGGTGGAGAAGAAGATAGATCTCAAGTGGCTGTTGGACTTATTGTACCGAATTCTCCCGCATATATCGACGGTCGTTTAAAACCGGGTGATGAAATAATTAAAATTGATGGACACTCTTGTATACGATCATCACATGAAAAAGTGGTTGAGTTAATGCAACAGGCAAAACAAAATCAACGAGTTAGTCTTTTAGTTAGACGATATCAAGAACATCAACAACCAATTGTAAATGGAAATGGAACGAATTTTATATCAGGTAAGAGAGATTATGTGAACTATTTTAGAGAGATCTTACTGTATTCATATTGTCTAATTATATATAGCTCGTCCACTAGAAAATGATCATCATCCACTGTATCCTTCGAATACTGTAAAACGTAATGTTCTTACATCTCTACCATCAATGAATAATGATAATAACAATAATGGGGGAGTGCGTTTTATCACTCTGTATAAAACAAATGATACTCAAAGTTTTGGATTTGTTATTATATCATCTCAAAATAAAGCAGGTGCTACTGTTGGTACGTATCTGATTTGCTTTTCCAAAACGAAAGATGAGTAGTAATAGTATTTATATTTTGCCTCTAGACCCATTATTTCGAGATCATTCTATGTGTGATGAACAAAAAGTTTGGATAGGTACAACTACATATACTCATGTTTTGTGTGCATAAATTAGATGAGAATGAAGCATGAAGAAATAAATATATCAAGCAGTACTCATCATCTACTAATATTAAAAAATCTATGTGATTAAGCATGATAAAAAACTCCCATCTTATTTTAATGAAAAGAGAAAGCAGAGAAGATAATTCATTGTTCTACTCTATGAGATTTAGTGAAGAATTAAACTTGCAGTCGAAAGATAAGAGAGTAGAGAATAATGCATGTATCATAAAATTTACTTGTTAGATGAATTTGTGGGCGTGCATGTTTTAGACGAATTTTTCACATAATTCATAACTTAATTATTCTACGCATTTTTCCAGGAAAAATTATTCCAAACAGTCCAGCTGATTATTCTCGACAATTATTCGTAAATGATCGTATTTTGGCAGTTAATAACGTTGATATTACACACATGTTACATACAGATGTTGTGAATTTAATTAAAGAATCTGGCCGATCAATAACATTAAAAATTGCACCATATCATGGTGAGCATCATAAATTGCTGTTTCTTTTAATTTTCTTTTGTATTCATTATCGTCTGTTTTTTTCATAGATGATCGATCCTTTGATGTTGATGGTATGCGATCCACTTTACCTACTGAGAATCGTTTACAAAAACCCTATTTATCTCAATCAAACTCTTCAAATGGTGTTAGTAATGGTCATCATCAACAATCTTCAATTCGACCATCTTCCTCATCACCGATGGTTATTGCACCAAATAGTGGAATTAATCAGCTACAATATCAAGTTCAACAACAGTATCAAACATCAATTAATAATAATAATAATAATAATCACTTGAGAAATGCATTTTCACATAATCCATTAAATATTTTAGAAAGGTAAAAGAATAAAACTATTTTGATTATCTATAATATTTTTTTAAATTACTTTTCTTTTCAGAAATCCAAATCGACCTGTTTCAAGAGCCAATGGTATTTCAAAATCTGTAAGTGATTTTAATTGTTTTATTCATCAATCCAAGTTATGTTTCTGAATATTTTTTAGACATCATCTGATGATTATTTTACCATCGATCTTCAACGTCCTCATCCATCGTCAAGTTTTGGTTTCAGTATTCGAGGTGGTAGAGAATTTAGCATCCCATTATTTATCTTAAAATTAGCTGACGACGGTCCAGCAGCTAGAGATGGAAGAATGAGGGTATACACACGTTACCATCTTTTTCCTATTTTTACTAATTTAATAACTTTCATTTAATTTCTATTTAGCCTGGCGATCAAATAATTGAAATAAATAATCGATCAACATACGGTATGACTCATCAAGATGCTATTTCACTGATTAAAGATGGTGGATTGTATGTCAGATTATTAATTCGAAAGACAAATGCCCCACCACCAAGTCTTGATGAAGTCAAAACAGCGATGACCAGTCCAATATTAAATTCAAATGACTTAACTGCCTTGTCACCCTTACAATCGAATGGATATGGTCATCAACATCATCCTCCTTTACCATCCGGTTGGCATAATAGTTATGATCACCATTCATAAAAATAAAAAATATATTCATTTGATTTTTGTTGTACTTTTTAATTATATCACGTATATATCTATGTATAGATCTGATTTGTCAAAGCTATTTTTTTTAAATGTTGTTTGTGTATACATGTTCTATTCATTTGTTTTTGTTTTTCTACACTGGCTCTACAAGCTACCATCTTCTTCCCCACATATACTTGACAAACTCGTTGTTTACTTATCTTCATTAAAATGAAGAAAATGTATGATAGAATCAACGTGTATGTTGTTATCTTCATATATATTTTGTCTTCTTCTTTTGTTTTTTGATCAGAGATCTTTCCTCTTTTTTACCTATAATTTGTGTATAGTAGATTTTCATATTCTATGTTTTTGTAAATACTAAATAGCACAAGAATTATGCTTTGTTTTATTTCAAAAGAAGAATGAATGAAGTTGGAAGAATGTTAGTAATCGATTAAGTCTATTTTATTTGCGTTTTTAGCGACTATAAGAAAATACATCTAAACTAGTCATCGTTTATGTTTGATAAGGCTATTTTTTTTTAAATTTAATTAATGATGAGAAAGAGAGTGACAGTTATTTGTCACATAGTCTACTCTTTTTTTATGTCTGATATAGATCACTGACGACAGACGATTGTTAATCAAAAACAAAAGAACATCACTAGTCAGTAGTAGTCAAAAATTTAGAGTACACTCTTGTTTATTAAAAACTAAAATATTTGCTTTTTAGTCTAAATTAGACGGTTTCTGTTGAAGAATGTGTTACAAAATGTTTTGTTTTCATACAAGATCTTAGAAAATGAGAAATTCAAGAAATCTCAGTCTTTATGGCTACTACACTCAATTACGTGGAACAAATGAAAATATTTTATCTAATAAGAATTGAGAATGATTTACTACTAATTGCAGTTATATTGAACGATGAGTTTGTTAGTTCATACTTCGTAATTGATTAATTGAAAACTGGTCATTTTCTTCTTTCTAAAATGAATCTCATTAATCTTTTACTAGTCTGAAATTGAAATAAAATATTGTGTTTAAGTTCCTCTTCGAAAATCTTGTATAATCTCCTATAGTGCTCATAGAAATTTTAAGCTAAATTGATAAATTGCTAGCTTTGTTCTTGATACTTAAATGTAACGCTCATTCTGTGTGTACAATATTCAATGCAAATTAGTTTTCTTTTGTTGTTTTTGTTAAAAGTGTTTGTGTTTTCGTTTTGTGTATATAGACAACCTTTCATATTACATTCCTATGACACATGTTGTACAATATTCTGACATCTATTCTTAAATTTTTTGATGTGTATGTGTGTGTGTGTGTATGTGTAAATATGTATTTTTATCAGATTTTCTTTTGTGCAATGTTTATTATGCTCACACATCGCTATTTTTTAGTTATGTTAGATATATATATATATGTACTATGAATGAGAGTTATTCGGTTTATCTTTTTTCTCTTATTGTAGTTAGTTGAAATGAATTTTGATCAATGAAAAAAACGAATACTATATATTAAAAAGTCAAAGACAACTTGGCTCGATTCGCTCAATTGACTTGTGTCACATCTGAATTTTATAATATGTTTATAGAAACAGTATCAAAAGTACCCAAAAAAAAAACAACAGCACTGATTCATATACTTCTTGTAACTAGGTATATAACAACTTTAACTGATGAAAATTGTAAATCTAGCAAAAAAGGCTTTTAATATTTAGGCTTTCTCCGTTTATAAAAGATTTTGAAAAAACGCTAAATTGTATATCAAAAGAAACAGATATGAATAGTCTTTTTTCGCTTGTTTTACAGTTCTCAGTAGTTACAAATAACTGTCAAAAAAAACCTGTTACTCGTACATACCTAGTTGTAACAAATTTATATACAAATGAAAATATGACAAGTTTTAAAAACAATATACTTACTATAAATATTTTTACTCTTTCAATAATTCAATTAATAAAGATTCTTCAAGTACGTGATGACTATCAGGATACAACAAGATGAGTATCGAAAATAAAAAATTATTAATAATTATTCGTGACAAACAATGAGTTCATCCTTTAAAAAATATTTATTTCTCATGTTCATCACATTTTAAAATGATGAAAAGTTTGTATCTATAGTTTTCATTTGTCTATAATTAATCTATGCTATGATATTCGTCTTTCCATTCTTTTTTTTTTCTTTTTGATAAAGTAAGTATGCTATGCGAATCAAAAATATACGTCAATAGATCAGAAGAATTGAAAACAATTTAGTTTTATATTAAAGAAATTCGTTCAACGTTCATTTCTAGATATGTAAGTTATGCCATCTGTTCCATCGCCATTACCGAAACCTGAACGTGCTATTATTGGTTTTTTTCTTTACGTAGCATCATTATTCTTATTTGGTAGGAGTTTAAATAATACTAATTTCAACATTCTATCGTATATTTCTCGAATTATTTTTTTAGTTGTTTATGTATTATGGGCCTATATACCCAATCAATGGTTAGATTATATTGGTATCACATATTATCCTCATAAGTAAGTATTGTCTGTACAATTTTTAGAGAACTTATTTAGAAATTTTTTTATATCATTTTAGATATTGGTCGATTGTCTTTGCATTACTAGTTATTATACTAATATTATCAATTGTATTATGTAATTTTTGCATCAATAATTTATCAGTACCATCGTTAGATGATTTTCGTTTAATACATGGTATGTATTTTTAAAAGTTTTATATTTTATCTGTTTCTAGATAATAATGACTGATGATTATTTGTTTGTAAGATCGATATGTTCGATTACCACCATCAAATTTATTTCAAAATGATATTGATTGTATTCCTCCAGTATTTGACATGGAATTGAAATATGTTAATCATGTTCTTTATTCAACATCTTGAAAATTATGTTTTTCACGATTATATTTTGTATCTTTTTATATATTAATGAATAACAAAAAAAACTTTTGTCAAAGAAGTTGCATATACAAAATAAATCAATTTCTCTACGTGCATAACAATATGGTGACAAGACAATATTTTATATAAGGATAATATTAATTAGTGGACGATAATTAGTGACTAGTTAATAATTCATTCTATTAACTTGACTTTTCTATCGTTTTATTTTTAGATATTTATATAGATTGTATTTGTATGATCAAGTGAAATAGTAATCATTTTTTCAGATCAGCATGGTAGACCAATAGATGAAGAAATGAAAATAAAATAAAATAAAATTATGAGATTAATATTAAAAATAAAACATTCGAATAGTTCATTTCTTTGTGTTAGTGATCGCCTCTGTTGATGTATATGGCTTTGATTTTCTTGTTGTCGACTACGTGATCGATTTACTAGATATTAGAGGATTATCAATACTTCGATACGAATACTTTAAAAAAAACTTTCGAGACTTTAACTAATAATACTAAATTGTAACGCATCCAGTAACTTTTAGTTGTGGAAAGTGTGAAAAATTGTATCTAAGTAGTTTTTTAGGTGTGAGCTCCTTGAGAGCTCTTCGGTAACAATAACTCGAAAATAAAGCAGCACAAAATTTTTTTGGCACTTCTATATTCTTTAATGATACAGGGAGGAAACTGCGGTTTTTTCGATTAGCAAAATACTGATGTTTTATACGGAATATTTCTCGTACAGAAGATTTATTATTTTCTTCAGACAAACAGTGGCTCTGGTACATATGCGCTCGTACTATTCACACATATTTGTTGTGCATTAGAAAAAGATCTAGTATATTCAGCATATGCGCTTTTTTGTTTATGGGCTCTTTCACCGTTAATCTCGAAATCAAAGGCCTAAATAGTGACATTTTTGTATGTATCATTTCTATAGATATATGAAGACTTTTGTTTGTCCTGAGTTATTCGAAAGAACCTAGCTTTCAAACTTTCCATGATATTTTTTAAATCTTCAATCGATTGAGAGAATACGCATTATATAAATAACAGAAATTATTATTAAAAACTTAATATCGATTTCTCAGGTAGTTTTTAAATCTTGTTTTGACTATCTGTTTGTTTTTCTGCATGAATAATCGTAGAAGCATCTAAAATGTTTGGAGACTGTTTATTCTAGCATCTTTAAAGCTATACGAATGTGACACTTCAAGAAAAATTAAAATTCAGCTCTATTTCAATGTTTATCTCCTCCTTCGGACTGGCAAGCTAATTGCTCCAGTCTTTGCTCAATTGTACTTGAACTTCAACTGCCTTAATCTTTTGATCATTCATCGAGCGTGGAAATATCCAAATATTTTATTACACCAGACGGTAAATATTTCTTGACTAATTTTTTGATTAATATTTTCTTCTCTTCTTCTGGCAAAAAACATGAGCGAGCTGCATTTAAGATGCATTGTGTTAATTGAGCTGGTGTTAATCTTAAGTCAAGCATACAATGCTCGTATTCATGTTCGATAGTTATTTGACTAACACTTGGATCATCACAGCTCAAACTAAAATTCATGTTATCTTTAGCAAAATATTGAATTGGATGCCAAATATGATCGCTTTTTGTTTTCACATGAGAATGAAGTCTTGCACTACTCTGTTCTACAATAAACAAACAAGATTTAAAGCAGTTAAAGAACACATAAGTTTCGCTCAAAATTACAGAAAAGCCTGCTCGTTTCTACATCTCTTCACTCTAGCAAACGATCGAACTAAACTATTTTCGGAGCTTACTATTCTTTTCAGTGGTATGATCATGATCAACGGTGCCAATTCGCTTTTCTTCTGTTTCACTGTCTTTCGGTAAATATTTTGCAATGGCATTTGTTTGAATCGACGATGTAAGACAACACTCAATATGCACATCGTTTCGATGAATTCGATTGTAAAGATCGTGATCATCAACCATTGCATAACCGTGACCAATTCTCTCAGCGTGGAGAAAATCGAGAGCAAATTTGATGGTTTCTGCAGTACCCACTTCACCTGCATGCACAGTACGATGAATATTAAGTTCAGCGGCGCGTTTAAAAGCAGAAATATGCGGCTCCATCGGAGAGGTTTCGTCACCAGCTAAATCGATACCAACTACACCTGCTGAACGATATTTTTCAGCTAATGAAACAATATCCATAGACCTAAAGCAAACAGCATATAAAATATATTTATTTTCAGTATTTTACCTACCATTCTGGGCATGGTCGTATACAACAAAGTAATGTTCGTACTTCGATGTGAAACTCTTCCATACCTCGTTGAAATCCTTTATTAACAGCTTCAACAACCTATATAAGAAAAATATTGATTAACAACGTGCGTGGAGAATAAAGTTTCTGTTCTACTTGTTCTAATGTTAAATTCGTTGCTGCCAGTTCATGAGGTGAATATCTTGCTTCCGTATACAACACACCTTGTATGGCTTGATCTTCAACAAATTCGTAAGCTACACGTTCAATTGCCTCACTATCACCGGCAATAATAGCAAGAAAAAAGGGAAATTTGTCTAAAAATTCTGCTAATGACGCACAGTTTTGTTGTACGCAAATGAATGGTATAAAATCATCGATGGTGTTCAATCCCTCAGGTAATGATATGTCTAAAAATAAACAATTTTCTTACAGATCCATAAAGTGGATTATTCACATCAATACTTTTTGTTCTAGCCAATTCAAAGAGGGTTGAATGTCGAAATGAACCATCCAGATGGATGTGTAACTGAAAACAAAACACGAAACTGAATTATACCAATTATCTAATGGTGACTCTAGTCATGACAGTATTTAACAAGTGTAGTAAATGCGAAAGAATTCTACTAAAAAGAGTTTTCACAATATTGGAGTTAAAATCGACTCACTTCAACGAGTGTAGGATTCAGCAACGGACGATGTCGATGTCGGTGTTGTGCATGTTTTGAATGAAGTAATGTTCCAGGTAAAGGTCTTTGAGGTTCGAGTGAAGAATATGGATCAGAATTTTCATTATTTGTGATAGCATGTTGTTCAGACATTGTATCTAAGAGATAAGTTAGTACGGTCTAGAATATTTTCAGCTATTCCGCGTCAGTGAATTCAATGCTTTAGCTAAGGAAAAGAATAAGACCTCAATATGACTCAACATGACATAAAATGATGAGATTGTTACTAAAATTAAGTTTGATGTCTAACTTAAATCTTGACCTTTAAGCCAAACCTGGAATTCCTCTCGATCTTCAAGATTTTCTACTGAAATATGTCTCATTTAAATCAAACTTGTTTAATGTTTATCAAACATTCTAAGACATGTACTCTTAAAAACTCAAAAGCATAATATATTTGTGATGTAAATGTGACGCAAAAAACATACACCTATGATATTTACCTAACCTTGAAAAGTCATTAATTAGTCTTAATATTGTGGAAATATTTCCATTATCTTGTAAAGAAAAAAATTGAAGGTACTAGTTAATTTACATCAAGTAAAAGGGAATACTTGTTGTAGCGACTCAGTTTATTGTAATTTTACAAAAAAAGTCACCAAAAATTCTTCTTATTTTGTCCTTTTCATTCAAAGCATATCTATCATTAATAATGTGTATGAGCGTCACAGATGAAGGATAATGGAAGAGACTCTTTTCTTTTATGAGAGGTGTGATATAGTGCGATTAATACTATTATCACTTCGCGTGAAAAAAATAGAGCACATCACTTTTTATCTATTTGTCATCGATATGATTGATTTCTACACTCTAAAGAAAAACAGCGTCGTTTGCATTTAATGCAATGATACGATACCGCTTCAGATGTTTAGTAAAAAACCCTTTTAGGGTTTAGTACGCGCTACTAAGCCTGAAAGCAGTAGAATGTCGTTGCATCTTGCTAAACCTCTAAAAAAAGGTTTAGTAAACGGTTTTTGACGTCTTGTTAAATCGTTTTCTACTTTTGACTAAAGCTTTCTGCTTTATAAAATAAAAAAACATATTGCTTACGCTCTGATCGGGCTGAAGAATGATGAAGCTCACTCACCGCTCGAGCCAAATGTTAACTGTCGATCGGTCAACCCAAAACGTACCTTTTCAATTAGCTTGCTGTGACTTTTCTAGCAACTCTTAGTTTTCTTCTCTTTTACTCATTAATTTCAATCTTCTCGAAGGAAAAACTCAGAAAGAAAAGTAAATGAAGATTCTCATTTACCACAAAAACTAAATTTTTAAGCCGACTGAGTGAACGTAGTGAACTGTCAGCTTATTGCTTTTCTCCAGAGTCCGCATGTTCTTCTTTCTTTCTCTATACCTCGAGCGCGTTTTTCTGCCCGTCGATCTCGGTAATTTCAAGTCATAGAAAACTGGGACAAAAAAGAGAATATAAAACTCACACTGAATACGGTACATCCGAGGTTGTCTTTGCGTTACCCCTTTTAGTTTTCTCAGGTATATGTCCTAAACAGAATCACTCAAAAGGTGGGACTTAGAAACTTTTCGCCATCGAGATAATTAACACGACGTGATTAACTATAGTATGCAAGAGAAGAAGGGAGTGTTCCAACTGTAGCGATTAAAAAAAACACTTGCACTGTGTTAACAATACCAGTCCTGCACTACACACCTTTGTGATTACATGTTGCACTCTTGAACCAATTTCACTCAGATTCTTATTTTCTTTTTGATTTTTTAAACTCGACTTGTTTGATACTAATAGATATGTTTTACAACCGCCTATTCGTTACAGAAAAGCCCAAGCCTTGGAAACTTGGACTGGTTCTTACTACGCGCGCAGTCCTCGAGACTGCCTTTCTGTAACTTTTCACTCAACTCATGTTGAGATTATATACGTAGAACATCACCGAAATAAAACGG